AACGGCTTTTGCAGTCCTGTCAGACTTAAATCTTCAGGTGAGGTTGATGATTGTGAAGCTGTTACAGCAAAAAGCAACAACAACGACAACTTTACTACCTTGTTTTCAGAAGACATGCATGTACAATAACGATGGTTACCAGAACCAGGATATATATTTAGATTTGAGTTGTTGGCAGTAGATTGTAAATAAGAAAGGAAAGAGAAAGAGCTGCAAGATAAAGATATATAACCCTTTAACTCCCAGACGTGATTAACATGCAACTTCTCTCTATAATATCCATATATTATCCTGCAAACAGGTAATGAGAATTTCTCAACTGATCATGGAATAGTTGTTATCTTGATCTAATACCAAATTCTCGTAACTTATTTAGAAGAAAACCTTATCAGCCAGAGGGGAGAATTAACAATTGGATCCTTGAGTTAAAGTGTTAACTTAAAGATAAAGAAATGAAATGAATTAATAAGTAACGGGTAGAAAGCTTTGAATGATATGTTTTTCGTATGGATTATTAGTTAACCCTATAACTCCCGGATAAAATTTGTAATTCTCCTTACTGTCAACCATACAATTCTTATAATGTTAGTTCAGAGAATTTAGTATTTGATCAACTAATAATCCCCAAATTGATCTTTTTCTTTATTCTTATCGCTTATCTGGTTGATATTGTATTCATATTGTAAGGTGAAATTCTGGCTTGGTCACTCATGGGAGTTAAAGGGTTAATTTAATTTTAAGTCTGTATGAAGGTGAATCTCAGTTTTTCCTTTAGAGGAGGTTGTTTTCAGTTTCCAAACTATTGCAACGGGAAAGTGAATGTAAAATTGTCAATAATTAGTTCGAACAAGATTATTATAATTGGTAGATCTATCAGAGTCTAAATCTAGTTTTATTGAGAATACACATTGGAAAAAACTGATCCAAATGATCCAGGGGAAAGATTGAAATGAAATTAGTTCATAAATTGAGAATCGTGAAAGAAAACTGAGTTCAACTTGTTTAAGTCGTTTTTGATGTTGTTGTTGTTGTTGATTTTGTGGTTGATGTTTTTCTGAAAGAGGTGGCGTGTTGTTTCAGTGTCACAAATAATTTTCTCTTTTTTTCGATTTTTTACCAGTATCCCGAGCAAGCAGCCTTTTCCATGCGTTTGGTGACGTACATTGGTATTTCGGTGTCCCTGGTTCTGTTATTGAGAGCTTTTATACTATTCTTGTGTCTAAGGTAATTTTTATTTGATTTTCGTCATTTTACTGACCTGACCTTCCCACAACGGTCGTAAGCAATTATGGAAATATTCCATATCGTTATATCATGATCTCATCTCCCATGGGCACTTCTAATACAAAATTGAACAATACAATATTGAGCCCACGCACTTCTCGTAAGCGTAGGAAGCGGAGCTCTCGGTGTTTTGGTGAAGTATTGTTTTCCAAAAATTCCTAAATTGGAGGCACCTGCAAAATTCCCTTTCAAAAAAATTGTAAGGTGTTAAGTGCAGTCCGGTCAAAGTCCGCTGCAAAAAGGTGTAAGCGCATTAGAGCATATTCTTTTAGAAGATGCGCTGTATAAACGCATTATTATCTGTACCATCACTATTTTGTCTTTACAACAATCTGAAGAGCAACTCAATAACAATTCATAAGAACCTTATTGTAGCGGTTTTCGTTTCGGAGCTGACGTTCCTCTTGGGAATCAACAGAACGGCAGATCAGATTGGGTCAAATACAAAGCTAACTTATGTTTACAGTAGGGTGATTAAGTATTATCAATTGAGTTGATAAAGTAAATTGGTCACCGTAAATAGTTTCAAAGCTAGCTTTGAAAAATGACAGCGTTCACTCAATGGATACTTTTACGCAAGTAAACGTCTACTTCAACTATGGCCAATTTTTTTTTTTTAACGCATGTTCATTAGCGCAAAAACGCAACATTGGAAATCTAGCTTTAGCTTTCTTTAAAACATATTAGTTTGGCTTCTGATCTTAAGACGTTGCTTTTATTTTTGTTTCATTGCAGAGATTGTGTCAGTTGATCGCCATAGTGCTGCATTATTTCTTCAGCGCCTCCTTCTCGTGGATGTTCGTCGAAGGTCTGCACATGTATCGCAGGCTCAGGGAAAAGAGGAATATAGACACTGGCAAATTGTCCTTCTATTTCTTCATGGGGTGGGGTAAGTGGTACGAATGTTGTCCAACAGGGAATGTATGGTATCAGTCCTTTGAAGTGACTAACCCTTAAATTCTCCCTCTAACATCCATACATTATCCAGCAAACAGGAAGTGAGAATACCCAAATTATCAGGTAGAAGTTGTTATCTTGATCCAACACCAAATAATTGGGACTTATTTACAAGGAAATGTTAAGCAACTGGAGGAGAGAATTAACAATTACATCGTGGGAGTAAATAGTTTAAATTTCGTGAGTTGTAAGCAGACATTTTTCGTAAAAAAAAAACCGGAGTAGGGTGATGGAAGAGGAATGATTGGTACAAGAAACTTAACAAAAGTCACAAATTTTAAAATATTCACTCGCCATCACCTATTTGAAGATAAGTTTGATTTTGAAAATTAATGCTTTCAAATAATAATAATAAAACATATCTGAATCATAAAACAAGGATTTCTTTGCAACGAGTGTGTTTTTTTTTGTCTCAGGATGTCCCGCTATTGTGGTCGGAGTTTCCGCTGGCTTAGCGAACGAGGGCTACGGAAACCAGAGATTGTAAGTAAACTTACAAGTATGGTCTCTGTAGAACTTTTTACTAGTCCCCGTAAACAGTTTGTTTGTACTTTTAACATTCCTAGACCAAGCAATAGATAGTGATAGTTCCCATTAATTTCGCGACATTTGACCTTTTATTATTATTATTTTTCAGCTGCTGGATGTCGACAGATGGAACACTTATCTGGACGTTTACGATTCCTGTCATCATCATTGTCGCGGTAAGTAGCTTCACGAATGATCCCACTCCTGACAACACATGTCAACATTAACGGCAAACCAAGAGGTAAATCTCTTGTGGTAAACTGATTACCAATTGAATTCAAAATCTTTGTAAAAACATCCAGTGACATCTCTAGGAAGCTGGTCTCATTCCCGTTCTCCTTACAACATCATCACACTATGAAGCAGGGCGGTGATGAGAAAAAAAGAAAAAATATATCAACTAGGGGATTATTACTCGATCCAATACCAAATTCTCCGAACTAACATCATTAGAATTGTCTTACAAATGAGAAGGGTTAATGTCAACCGTCCACTTTTCACCCGTTCTTCTTCATCTTGCTTTCCCATCCACCTCTCCATCTGTAGTTTCGTTGCAGACACTGTGTCGATGAACGTTGGGCCCGTTTTATTTTTTAGTTCGTTTTGTGACATAGTGTTTTCCTCAATGGTATTCTTTGGCGCAGTTGACATGCATGTTGCTGTGGCAAACAAAACAAACAACAACATAGAGATGACGGTCTGAAATTGTTCATATTTATACACAAATTTTGTATTTGTGGAATGGTGCGGTATTTGTATACAATTACATTGATTGATTTAGTATGTCGTGTTGTTCATTGACTTTCTTTTTATCATCTTAGCTCAACACACTCGTCTTTATCATGGCGTTGTTCACTTCACTTCAAAAACAATCAAGAAAGAGACGTCGCCGGCATCACCACCATCACCATGACGACGAACAATCTAACTTGACGTAAGATAACACTTTTGACTGATTCATGAGCGTACTAATCGTCTCTTGCTAAAGCCTGGTTTACTCGAGCGACGTGAGCACAAACACAAGCATAACAGCTCAAAGAGAAGCAAGCACGAATCAAGCGCAACGATCAAAATTTGTCCTTTTTCTTGTGCTACTCTTTGTGCTCGTCGACGTTCGTTTTCAATTGGCATACTTTCCTGGTGCTCGCGTTTGTGCTTACGCTTGTGTTTGCGTCGCTGGGGAAAACCAGACTTAAGCGTAAAAGACTATTTAACAACTTTTCACCGAAGTAGAGGTGGCTCGTGGTGGATATTTACCCAATCGTGAAGCGGCGAGATTAAATATCAACTGCCAGCTTCCTCCACTGAGGTGAATAGTTAACTACCACGCTATAGATAACGAAAGACACTAGATTTATGCAGACCATGTATTGAAAACCGCTTCCCTTGACTGACCAATCTCCAACTGCTCAATAACTGAGAAATGTTTTAATACCTTAAAATGATAAAATGAAATTTACCGAATCCCTCCCATAAGGTTCTGGAGTATTCCAATGATCCCCCTCCCCCCCGTCGATAAATAAAGACTGGTTCGTTATGATTTAAACTAGATAATTCTTTATTCATTTGTCAAATGTTTTATTTGTTCATCTCGCTTTTTGTCGTCTTAGTGCCGGATTACGAGCCACAGCCGGTCTTCTTCCCTTGATAGGAGTATCTTTCGCGTTCGCCATTTTGATGGTGAATAAAGATTTGGAAACCTTTCACTATATCTTTGCTGCCTTTACGCCAGTTGTTTTCGAAGTAGTTCTTAATTTAATGCGGAAAGGCAATGGAGGATTTCTCTCATCCAGTTGTTTTCGGTACTAAAACCGGGATTGCACCGCTTCTACCCCATCAGAGCGTGATCGAAATTTTAGTCCTAATTAACTCTTATTTCACGCAAAAAGAAACTGGGTTGAAAAGCTTATTAAAGAGAAAAACAGGCTAAGGAAGCGTAGAGACGAAAATTTAATTCGGTACCTGAACACATATAATCAACAATAAGCAAAATGCCTGTTTCCTTTTCATTTTCAACTCTCAAAAGATGTGAGGACTCGTCTCGAAATTAATAAATGCTGAATACCTTTAATTTGCTGTGTTGTAGTTCTTCGGTCGATGAAAGTCGATCGATCAGCGACAAATTTTTGATGAGCTTGTATCGTTCACAGGGCCTGTGTATACTAGTGTTTTATCTCCTATTGGACAAGACGGTGAGTAACATACCTTTTTTTTTATTTTTTCCCGATTTCAATTTGATTTAATGGACGCGGAAATTTGATTCACTTTCACAATCTTGCTTTATTGTAAAAAAACCCTACAGGTTCGGAAGGAGTTCAAGAATGTGTACATGCGCTGGAAGACTAAGGACAAGACATACGGGATACAGAAACCCACGCAGCATTTTGTAAGAGGAATATTCACCCTCTTTACGTCTCTGTGCTTAACTCGCCCTCTTTCCTTAAATGAGGCATTCTTTTTTCATTGATTCGTCCTCTCTAGAAAGCATGTTCTGTTTTTCACTTGCTCTTCTCCGCTTTTTGACCACCTTTTCAAAAGATCAATTCATGGTCTGCCATGTCTTTACCCCTTCTCATATTTCAGCCACTCTTTTATCCGACCGAACCTCTACCCTGTTAGGTATACAGCATTTCAGTATTTCTTTGAATAAGCACCCACGCTCTAAGAAGCGCCCTCCGCCGAATAAGTGCCCGCCCTCAGGCGCCCCCTCGAAACCCCCCCTCCCTCCCCCCCCCCTCCCGTCTCCTCCCTCATTTCCTCAACTGGTAGGAATACCAAGAAAAACACTTTCTTTTGCCACTTCATCTATAATTTATCAAGCTTCAACCGCAGCGGAATCAGAACAGGAGATTTATAAGCGACCCCTTCGATTTAGAGCCATCCTTCCAATAGGCGCCCCCTCCTTTGGCCGAAATTATATAACCTCTTATTTGAGGAAATGCGATATGACAATTTTTCACTGTTTCATCTCCATTCTGAGTACCACAATGTTATCCTTCTCCCGCTTGTTATGTCAAAGTAAAATAAGTATCCCAGACTTTATCAACATATAACTTCTCCTTGAGGTTCCAGTTTGTTATCTCGTGAATACGTTATGAGAACAGACAGCTTCATCAGCCGAAGAATATCATCATAACAGAACACCAAACTCTCCCCTCAAATTTTTAAAGAAATGTATCGTGGTAAGAGGGAAGAATTTCCAAGTAGATCTTGGGAGTGAAAGGGTGAACTTACCTTTTTCTTTTCCCCTTCTTCTTTCCCACTTTTCAATTCATGCACTCTCCCTCCCCTCCCTGTTCGTATTCGCGAGACTATTCCATTTTCTCTCACCCAACGTATTGATTTCTTTTTTCTTTCTTCACCTGTTTAACGAAAAGTTCTGTTTCCTTTTTTTTTTCCTTAGAAACGCTCCTATCACCCTGGGGAGACGGCACCTCTCCGATCCCCGTATGATTTTGACGACGATGGAAACGCCACTAGCACATCTACCACGGAGCCATCCAGCAGCGGTTTCCGTAGCAGTGTAACGAGTCGGTTCACCACAGACAACAGTATCACGGATACTATAGGAGATGAAGATACCAGTGTACCAGGTGTGCGTTTGAAATGTAATTTCTCTCAAATATGCTCTATACATTCTGCTCAGTCCAAGTAGTAAGAACGTGGTTTTTAATAAATTACAGTGATTTCTAGTCGACACACGAATGGTGGGACGTACATTCAGGGTAGACCCTAGAGGCCGAAAAAAAGTGCCCCTTCTTCATTTCTGGGAACTAATTTTTGTTTGTTTGTTCTAATTTCAGATGGAAAATCGCCAAAGGCCAAGTACCCTGATAATCCTGAACTCGGTAAGATGTCTACAAGGCGTAAACTCAAACATTTCTGTCTTTTAACTCCTTTGTAGTCAATATTTTGATGGTCACGAAACTAAGAGGAAAATAAGGGGTGATGTTACTTCGTCATGCAATATTATTGTGCAACGAAACATCTGTAACACATCTTTGGTACAGTCAGTTAAAGTCTAAAAGTTTTGTGAGTATATACACAGTGGGTAGCATTATAGGTGCGATCTGATTGGCTACTCAAACTCCAAATATCCCTTGCTAATCACCTCCAAGCAGCGCGCACGCGATTTGCGCCCGGAAAGATGGTAATCGTTGCAGGAAGAAATTCGTTAATATGACCTTTAGTGCTACAGTATTTCACTGTTTTGGTATATACTAAAACAACTATTCTCCTCAGTATGGGTGGTATGAGGTGGATATTTGCCGAGCCGTATATCCACCACTAGACAAGTAGACAAAGGTTTGGTGAACAGGAATAAGCGAAATAAGCGCGCAAGTCTGATTAAGCGTCTAAGTTTTACAGGGACTAACATATCCTGTTTTTGTTTTCTTTAAATCTGTAGAGCGAGCCCGGAAAATATGGGAACAGACCGATAAGTCAGGTATCCTTACTGTCTGCCACATAATTCTTATGGTGCTCGTACGGAGAATTTGTCACAAGATCAACTTATATTCCCCTACCTGTCGCTTTTTTGTTTTGACTTTAAGATAAGGCATGCTTCTCACGTACGCGATTTTTTTTTTCTTCATCGTAAACAATTAACTTTTATATTTTAATTATAGTTGAATTCGTTCATTACATCATCTGTGTTACAAATTGCACATACTTCAATGTTTCTGTCCCTATGAAGCGATTTTTTTTCGCGGGAGTAATGAAGAAAATCGGATGAAGCGGGTTACTCCCCTGTCCGTCCGCCATATTTACTTAAGTATGTATTTCCACTGATTGCCTATTTTTAATATTTTTTTCCAGAAGTGAGCACCACCCAACCAGAATCATCTTCCGAAGAGGAAGACGAGCGGCCCTCCTCGCCTGGTCTTCCATCTGATTCCTCCGACTCTGAAGATGACCAAGGTACAAATTGTATGGTTCTGTAGTGATATAATTTTCACCTCTCGTAAATTTTTTTGTCACTTTATTTTGGCTCAGTCAGAGTTAGTATGTTCACGTATAGGACAGGTTAGAGTAATTTCCAATTGATTGTCGAAAGTAATTCGGTCTGTGATTGGTGTAAAAACTCGCGCCATGCTCCGAACCAATCAGACGCCAAACGAAAACCAATCAGGACTTGGTCTTCCGCGCTTTCCCGCGCATTTGGTAGTTTGCCTGTTGTGAGTTCTCGTAGGCTAATGACGTTATAAATCTTCGTTTTGATTAGCCTTTGTGATTACTTTGGTTATGGATTTTTACAGTCAATTAAAGACTCTACTTTTCTACGGTCAATTAAAGACTCTAAAACCCACTTGAAATAAAATTTCCCCTCAGCAATCTGCCGCAATTGGGCAAGTGACAAAGAGTGAGTGACAGAGCATTTGAAGAAGCCAATGATTTGTATTAACACTGTTACAGAACAAAATCTATGTTTTCCAAATTACGTTACTTTCTTACTTGTATATTTACTTCGGCAAATCACAGCAACCTTTTCTGCGAGTTTTCATTTTTTTTACTTTCTTTCTTAGTTCCGAGTGAAAATGGATGGCCAAAAGATAAAACTCCAAGGAAGAAACGTCGAAAAGGTTAGAGTAAAATAATTTTTTAAAATACGGTCAGCCTTGGTTAGCCTTAGTGTCGGCAACTCGACCCAAGGATCTGTATTTTGATGAAAAGTTTTTGCTGGTTTTTTGTTTTTCCTCCAGCTCCTTTCTACGCTTCAGACGGACCTATGCATAGCACACCAATGGGTAAGGATGTTAAGGATTTTGCATGCAAAAAAGCATGTATCTTACAGAACTAATTGCGAATTGAGGGATGTTTTTCAATTCTTTTGAATTAATGGCAGGGAAGAAGGGAGAAAGACAATTAGACTGACAGATAAACTGACAGACAGACAGACAATTAGACTGACAAACTGACTGTCAGCCAGGCAAACAGAATGACAGACAGACAAATAGACTGAGAAATTGACTGACAGACCGACAGACCGAGAAATTGACTGACAAAGAGACAGACAGACGGACAGACTGACAGATAGGCAGATAGACTGAGAAATTGACTCACAAAGAGACAGAAAGACAGACAGACAGAGAGATAGAAAGGGAAACTGAAAGAGAGACTGAAAAAGTGACTGACAGACAGACAGACAGACGGACAGAAAGGCAGACATGAAGATAGACAGACAATGGTCTGGTAAAAATGTGATTTATCAAAATAGACTCTATTTATTTCATTTGTATCCGGACTATAAAAATGGAAATTAATACTCAAGTATCAAAATTACCTCGCGCGGGGCTATGACTGAAATGTTTGACTTAATCCACGGCTAATCAGATCACGCGCATCTTTGTCATTTAATCACTAGGGCAATCATATTTAAACAAATTTTTTTTTTTTTCATGTTCTTCTCTTCCTTACTAACCTTGCCACAGAGACAACACCCGAGGAAGAACCGTTGAGAGAACCTGAGTCGGAATCTTCCGACACCGATGACGAAGAGTTACCAACGATCGATCGTAAAAAGGATCATCCTTCCTTCAAAGCCGTCCCCGAGATTATACAGGACAAAGGGGTGTCAGGTTCGGCTGCCACCTCTGATACGACTCCATCTGTGGACAGCAGCTTGAAAAAGAAACCTCTGAAGTCAGCTCTCAAGAAACCGAAGAATCCTATTCCTATACCTGTCATGGAAGAGCTTAATGATGACGATGACGATGATAAATCACTCAGGTAAAGATTAAGGAACCCTTAAACTACCAAATCCAAGCTTTAACCTGACAAGTTTTAGTATTCTCAATACCTTTTGGCTGGATAATGTATAGATATCACTTGGAGAATTTACATAATGATCACTTCTGATAGTCAACGCGGTAACTTTTAAACAAGAGAACACGATGGGAGAAAGAACTCAGTTCCAAACTTAAGTCTTAGAATACATTAATTTAACTTAGTGCATCTATAAACGTCAGTCTCTCGTACCGAAGTCAGCTTTTTGAAGGGTCCACGTGAAGGCCTAACTGATGTGTTTCTTGAGTGTTTTAGCAATGTTGCGCATAAACCCGGCCACCTCTCTGCAACGGCCTCTTTTGCCTCCAAGGTGGCCTTTAAGTAGAGGCAGGGGTTTAGATTAAAGCCATCTACAGCCTCCATAAAACCTCTCATCGCTGTTTAGCCAGCGAGCATGCTCTTGTGTTTGGGTTTGACCTTACGGCACAGCCGCCTAGTAAACCATCGACAGCCGCTTACGGAAAAGTTATTGAGACCCTCTAGAAGGCTGACTGACACACCCTGATCGAACATTAACCGCTTATATTTATGTATTTTTCTGCCACAGCACTGATCGTCATCATCATCACCATCACCACAAAGACAAACATCGACACCGTCGAGACAGACCACGGTCCCGCGCGAGTTCCGTGTCTAGCGATCAGAAGGAGAAAAAACGCAGATTTAGGAAGAAAGGTTCCAAGAAGAAGGAAACGTTAGTACAAATTGGTGGAGAGGAATACAGAGTGCAGGCTGGGGACCAGTCTTTGTAAGTGTGTCTTTTGTTAACGTTCAATGAAAGTGGGAATGGTTTCTTAGTCCATGCTCGTGACAAGACGAAAGAACGTCTTTCGTCATTTCATCTCTGAGTTTCTCTTAACCTAGTGATCCCTAAGAGGACTGGCATCTAATTTGTACAAGAAAACGAGAAAGAAACAGGAAAGATTCACCATCTTTCTTATTTCATTAACTCACAGAAGGCTTTTGTCATCGCTTATCAAGCAGAGTGGCGGACGCGTGTCACATATGAACTAGTATTGGCCTGGCCATTATAGAGTCTCTGTGGCTCAGTGGTAGAGCATTGTAGCACGAAATCGGAAGGTCTGAGGTTCGATTCCTCGTGGAAACCTAGATCCTTTTCTTTATGCCACGATCGAGACAAGACGAAACTCCTATCTTTCTTCAGGTGATCATGGTTATTGGCAATTTTATCTTGTATTCTTGAGGCTGTTTCGGGCTCTTTTTGTCTTCTTCATTTTTCCGCGGCACGAGAGTTTTTTTTTTTTTTAACAAAATTGAATCCTGGAGTGGAAAAAGGAGTGGTAAATAATTGTTTGATTGAGTGATTTTATCACTTTAAGTTTTCCTTAAATACGAAAAAACAAAGAAAAGAAAAGCGAAGGATTCATTAGAGTTCGCCAATTCGTAAAGGCTCCCTTCCTGAGATCAGACAACTGTGATCATATAAATTAAATTTGAGAAAGATGTTTTTTCGTCTTGCCACGAGCGTGGGACATAGCAAAAAATTCTTAGTCCCCAGACCTTCGGAGTCTGCGCTCTGATGCTCTACCACTGAGCCACAGAGACTCTATGGTGAACAAGGCTCATTACCAAGTTCATATATGACACGCATTCTTGCATACTGCTAGGATCAGCCATGTTGATAATGTCATGTTTTTTAATAGAATAAGAAAGATAGTAAGTTTTTGAGCACGGTAAACAAATGGAAAAAGATGTTTTTCGTCTTGTCACGAGCGTGGACGAAGACAAAATTTTTGCGTCCCCATGAGGAGTAAATAAAAGTTGTTGAACAATCTTTCAGTTGTACAGCTTGTAATGCTGCCCACTGTGGTGGTTGGAAGCGTTCTGATCGTGTGTCAAACTGTGCAGTGTTGTTTTTGGTGATACAACTTGAGTGTTTAACCATTCAACGGAAGTCTTGCTAGCAGCGCTTTTATGTTGGTTTACTGCATGGGGCACTTTTGGCTTTCAGGTTGTTATATAGTTCTAAGTCTGTTGATGAAATCCTAATATGCAAGTTTTCAATTGAAAGCTGCTGAACAGCACTTTCATAAGTTTCCTTTCTTTCAACTGTGCAAGGTGGTGTTGACCTTTAAGTTTGTTGATTAACTTGATAACCGTCAGATGAAAGCTTCTAAGCAGTTCTTTCATGCACACTGTTCGACCTGCTAGGAAAAGTGGTTTCACCTTTTCAGTGTACTGTTAAAAAAATTCAAGGAAACCTATTTTTAAGCGATTTCACAAGGTTCTGTTTATTTTACACTTTATGATAGCTCTACCCTCTCAAGATCGTTTGTGAAACCTTGGTGCAGGAGTGTTTCAATGAAAGCTATTAAGCAGTGATCTCACGCGGTTTTGTTTGTTTCTCAGCGGTTTAAATTTTTTTCCTATTTTTTTGTTTTGTTTTGTTTTGTTTTGTTTTGTTTTGTTTTGTTTTTTTTTTCTGGATCTTTATGAGAGGGACAAAAAATACTCGACGAGGAATAAATTGTTGGGGTTATAAAGAAGTAATTAAACTATCCAAAAAACAGAGATATATGATTGAGATAACCCACATTAACCAATTGTTGAGTGATTGTTGTTCAAGAGATCACTTGTGGAATTTTCTTTGTCAGCCATAACCTTGGGTGAGGGACTTTTTTGTTGGAGGAACGACAACACCTTTTGTTGTGCAAAGAAAGATGTTAAAAAATTTGTTACAAGAATGGGAAAAAGGAAAAATCTGGGTATCCTGTGAAGATTGCATCCCAGGTAGTCCTGTTTTGCTCGTGGGATGCGCTAGTAGCTTGTGTGAGAGGACTGATCAATTGAAGTACAAGGTTATGTACTAATTTGTTTATGACACGATTTCTGCATACCAGTCGAATCAGAAATGTAGAAAAACGTAGAAAACGTGTTGTGCTTCCTAAGAACGGGAAATATGATAAATTCTAGCTCAGTTGTCGAAGTGGAAGAAAGATATTGAACGTTTTTTATAGAAATTTGTTGTGATTTTGAGTTGCCTATTGTTCAATGTTCGTGATGGGAACAAAACACGAACTTCTGGCAGACGGAACCTCCTGCGGGTTAAAAAAATAACTTGTACGTGCTTATTTTTCTTTAAGCAGCTGTTGGCGTTAATCTCTCACGTCACGTTTTTCAAAACTTATCGAATTTCTCACGGAGAGCATATCCGGGCTTTTCTGTTCTCTTTCAGTTATATTTCACCGGAAGACACGCGTTTTTTTCAGGCAGACCATTATTCTTTCTAAATCTATGACAACCGATCTGAGCTGATCAGTCGTGTCTCATTGTTTCGTACGCTACACAAGGTGGTTGCTTCTCTTCCCACTTTTTGCGGAGAAAAACTGGATTGCAGCAAACTAAATAGAACAACATGTCGATTTGGTGTAGTTGTATCATGTATTAGGTGTTCTTTTCTGTGAATACAACCCAAGTTTCAGACAGCGTTTTAAGCTAATGACCTGCACTCCCGTATGTTATTATTTGTTAACTGAACATGATGGTTGTAACATTTAAACCTCAGGCTAAAAGCCTGGTCTATGAACATTGCAATGAAAGTTTCGGAGAAGCGCTTTAATTTGCCTTTATCCATTGTACTGTGGAAGGTTGTGGTAGCTGTAAGATTAAAGATGATAAACCGGTATGTCAAAGCTGGTGAAAAATACTCACTTAGCGGTTATGGTTTATTGTACTGACAAGATGCGAGCACTTGGCATTCAAATTTTTTTTGATATTTTTTTAAAGTTTCCCTTTTTTAGGGAAATGAACTTGAATTAATTTCATAGTCAGCGTTATTTTCTTTATTATGGTACTTTTCTGTGTTTGTTTATATCTCATTTATGCAAATTACGTCAACCTGCAGTTTTTCTTCCTCTCCTAACTTGAGCTTTGCGCACAGTTATCTTTTAAGGAAACGAATTCAATGAGTTATGTGATTTTGGAGCAAGAACATGGCTGTGGGAACCCTTGAGTTGTATTAACTCCTCTTGACGATTTTTAAGTGCATGTGAAAGACAGTTTGTTTAGACGAGCCATTTTTCTGGGGGCTTCTTTAGCTGTTGCGATGCTGTGATTTTATGAACCTCGCTGGGGTCTTGCTTTGTAGGGGTCCATATCAAAGAACGTTTTTAGCACCCTGTTGCGTTATTGTTTTTTTGTACAATATGTAATTATATTTACTAGTGTTGTACATCCAAATCTCGCCAGAAGGTTGAAAATAAAAAGTACCGCTTAATTAACCCAAATTACCTCATATGTTTTTTGATAACGACCAACGTTGACAAGACAAAAGAAGTGTTTGCTTTCCTGCGGTTAAGGTATCCTGTGGCGGCCTACTGCACAGATTAGGTCTTTGATTTTTTTGTTCAAGGTCTTGGTAAGAGAGCTGTACGCGCTTCTTTCCTGCTGCGAAACCCAAAGGTTTTTTCCTTCTTTACGTCTAAGAATGGTTGAACAATACGGATCACAGCGGATGCCAAATGATAAACAAGAATTTGTTTTAATGTTCTCACTAATGAGTCTAATAGATTTATTTCACCTTCCCTTCCTATCACAGCTTGTTTTCTAGTCGTTAAGTTTAATAAATTGCCCTAGGAATAGTTCTCTGTTGGCATTTTAGTGGCAAAATCTGGGTTTCTACTCGTAAACGGTGCATTAGTCTCAAACAGTGCATAGTTTTGCCTCACTGGGAATTTGATTACAAACCTTGTAGTCTCTAGATTCTTCTGTTAAATTTGTAAACTTGTACGTTGTGTTCCCACAGTGTCCAATTAAATAGTCGACAAAAACCTATTGTGTGCCTTGTTAAGCATAAAACTATTATTGACTAAAGGCCGGTTGCCAGCTTAGTCGATTTCCATTGTTCCGTCACTTTGTCTGTTCTACAACAACTGGATTAAGCGACTTCTCTTTATTTTCTCGGCAGGTTTCAAGATTCTCAAGTCTAAGCAAGTTTCTGGGTGCGTATTTTCCTATTCTTATAAATTAGTGGCGAGTTGTTTTCGTGTTATTTGAGGTCTTTCTGCATCGTTGATTAGCGGTGGGATTGAAAATGAGAGCTTATAAGATAATGGCTGATAAAAGGCAAACTGTTACGGGTCAGTGGACTTTCAGGGGGGTTGAATGATCAACTATGCGTGGCAAACCGTAGACGAAACCACGAACTCACGCTTGACTGAGCAAAACGTCTTTCTTTTTCGCTAGTCCAGTCCAAGGCTAGGGTTTGAAGCTCTTACAACCGTTTTGCGCTGACCAAAAAACTGGCTTCACTGGTTCATCTTTAATTCTTGGTTCAAGTTTTTTTTAAGATGTTTTTGTTTTGATTTTTTTTTTCGGAAAACCTTTGTTACGTGTGATTTGTACGGTTCAAGTAGGAAGATATAAAACAGTGTGAAAACAGAGGAAATTATTAATTGATCGAGAAATTTCAAAACGAAGCCAATATTTAAGCAACCACTGCTAGAGAGACCACAGCCACACCAAGGTGATCTCCATTCCATTTTTCTCCTCTCTTCACTCCTCTGATAAAAAGTACTAACCCACCCCTCTCCCCATCACCGCCTTGAATTACCAGTTGGTTTTCTCCCTCCCTTTTCCGAAAAAAGAGAAAAAGATAAAACGAATATTCAAGGTTTACTGACTGAAATAGTTTCATTTCTTCACCCACGTCAAGAAGAGGTTCTAAATAGTTAACTAACTATGTTGTTAAATTTGAAAATATGGTGGAACAAAATGAGCGCCCTTTCTATTTCTTCTCTTGACTGTCTGTTTCTTTCTGATGAAAAATGTACTGACCCAGAATTGTTTTCTTTGATGCATTATTTCCAATAGTAAGGCTCAACACTTATGTTTTGCGCATTACATCAGTTTCAAGCGAAGTACAACCTCCTTATCCCTCCCCCGCTAAACTGTTTTATTCTCCTTTTTTTCAACTTTCCCGTAAATTCAAGAACAGAAAGTTTTAACATGCCCTAGTGCCACTTTTCTTAAGACTTCCTTTTTATTTTCTAAACCTAAAGTAAAGTTCTAGGGCTGTCCTATTGTATTACAGTTTAATCTTTTATGTTAGGATTCACCTTCCAACGTCTTTGGTAGAAAGTACCTGAACTTGAAAAATACCCCAAAACGTGGGGTATTGTTTTGTGAAAAGGTTATCTTAGCTCAGTCAAATCTTCCTTAGATATTAATATTTCCTTCTTTGATATTTCTTTTAATTTTTTATCAATTTATACGTGTTGTGATATGAATGTACGTGAGTCAAGGCTGTTTTGAATGGCGAATAAGCTGATATAAGCCAGAGCTTTGCAAATACGCACAAAGCTAATATTTCCTTTCTCAAAATCCCTTCTACTATTGTCTTTCATCTTGTGTCGTGAGCACGATGATTTGTTTTCAGTTTATACTGATACATTTATTTTCAGTTCCTTTTTAAAATTCCCTTTCGTTCTCATCCCTTTTCTCATGTTTTGATGCATGTAATCATTCGTGAATCGATAGTTATATTTCCCGCTAGCAATTTTGATCAGTTCGTACGTATTGTGATGTAAATCTACTTGAGTAATAATTGCTTTGATACCCAATAAACAAATATGGACGAGAGCGTAGCAAAAACGTGCAAAATTGATATTCACTCGTCAAAAATCTCTTGCACGTGCGTTTTATATCTCGTGTCTCGAGCGTGCTTTTTCGTGTACAAATTTAGACTGACTAGATTTAAGAATTTTCTAGATATTAAGCCGGCTTCCTCCATGAAATTCCCTTCTGCTTTCTTTCACTTTGTGCCTGGTTTTCTATTTCTTTTTGTTTGTCTTACGCGAATTTATGATACTTTTCGTACGTATAAATCTTTCCAATACCTTGTAATCTTCTTAGCTTGCAGCTTTATGTCAGCTTTGTTAACATGTGCATGTTTGCCATGGCTCCATTCGGACCTTGCTTTTTGTCGTTAATCAAAATTGAAGGATAACTTGGTCGTTTGTGATATTGTTCGTCTGTGCGTTTATTGAAACCTTCCATTAAGACAAGTACTTATTTATTTAAAACAAATTCCTCTATGGCGGTATTTTAGTGTAGTTTGCAATTCTTAAATTCCAAAGCTATTTAAATTGTTCATGTCACGGTAATGGATTGTCATTTACAAAGGAACATGTCGGTCTTGCACGAGTAACCAGACATAAATTTTCAAATTCGCTCTTGACCAACCCATTAAAGATATTTTTCGGTGATTTCATGCTATTTGAGCAAAGTATTTGAGCAATTTGCCCCCCTCCACCCCTCATAAATTCGTATTGTTGTTGTGGTGGACTCAAACCTCCACGCATTGCCGATCTCTTCCCTTTCCAATGTTTTACTCCTGGGCCGTTCAGATTCTGGAAAACTAAAATTAGAAACTACTTAGATTAGGGAAAGCGGCTTGCGGTATTTGCGGCTGAGAAGACGCTACCTTATTTTGTGTCAAAATAAACTGAAAATTGAGTCCAGAAGGAAAAGCTTGAAGGGTACATTTTCTAATTTTATCAGCGCGAAAATTTTTAAGAATCGTTTCTTACCAAGTGTGAAACGCATCGTTTTCCACTCGACAGTTTGTTAACCAATGACAAGAGATTGTATCAGAGTTTCACTATTATAAACGGTTTGAAAAGGAGGAAGCAAGTTCTGTAGTCTACAAGACAAATGCTCATGGTGAAGTTAGAAAATGTTCATACTGATAGTCTTAGTAGAGTGCATGGAAACTTGAATCAAAAGTTTCATTTGGAGTAGTAGTTTTTTTTCTGCTAAAGTTTTTAACTTCCTTTTAGTTCATCGTAACTGATATAAGTTTAAGCGATTTTTTAACGTATGTCTTTTTCTTTATATCGTCCCAATTTAGAACCAGTCTTCATTGTAATATTTTCTTGTCTATTTTCTCAATTATAATTTATTTATTTATCTGTTCTTGCCTCTTTCTTACAGGGTTCGACAACTAGATATGAAAGACTACTAGCTTGTACTACTCTTCAATTCAACAAGCGTTTATTTAGCTAGAGTGATAAGCCTTTAGTTTTTTTTTAAGATATCAAAACTTACTTCGAAAATGGTTTTGTTTAATGGCCGTAAGTGTACATTTATTTCGTAATACAACACGGTTAACCGTGAGATTAAAAAAAAACCCACTTTTTTCCTTGAGAAGCAATTAATTTTGCTTGTGTTTCTTATAAGGTTTGTAAAGCCTTTGATATTGTATAGATGCTCTAACGTATATTTAGTGCAGATTTCTCAGTCTTTTTTAAAATGAGTTTTAGAATTAGGTGTTTCTTATAAACCGCTAGTAAGCTTTTGAGATAAACGAGGAAAAATATTTTTATCGAATCTCGACATGATTGCAGTATTTTCTTACCGTGAAATTTTTAATGAGGTATCTTGAAGTTTCAAATTGCAAATGGAATATAATTTATTAGGTCTGTAGGAACAGTTATCTGCTTAAAAAGGCAAAAAAATCGTATTTTAGCTTAGCTTTTGACAACGCATCGGCGAAAGTGGAAGAGAGTTCTTCCAAATAAACATTCTTAGTTTTTAATGTAAGCGTCTTGAGAGTGGCTAAAATTTACACGCCGACTGTAAATTTCTTAGCTTGTTTAGCTCATGATTTAGTGTTACCAATTTTAAATTGAACTTGCAGAGTGTAATGGAATCAAAACACTCAAGCATAGACAATGTCTAAGACTCCATTTGATCTTTTGCGAAGATGTCCGATGAGTTATTTATTTTACTTCCAGTGTGTTTGGTTTCAAAGCAATTTCTATAAAAAGAAATAACTTCTTATGTACATTTTTTGCTGATGGAACGTGTTAATAAAGTCTAAAAGGCACGTCGGCTGTAGTCATTTGCGTCTTTCTGCATTTTGATATATATATATATATATTTTTTTTTTCTTCATTATTTTACTTTTCGTTAATATTACTATCCTAAAGCAAGTACCGGCGAGCTTTAATTTAAAATTGGTAATTACACTGCAAGTGTTTGCCGAAATGATTAATTTTAATTTTACAGCGATCACTGTGTTGCATTTCTAACATCGCACTGCATTCGGCTACATCTAACATTTCAAAAAGGAAGAAAACAGTGAAATTTTAATTCCGAAAAAAAAACATGTATCTTGTCGCTTTTGTGAAGAAAGCGCACGCTCTCCTGCGGAATAAAATCACTAAACGTCGAATTCTTTATCAAGCCGCCAACTGAATTTTTCAGTTTTGTTATTCCTGATGTATTGAAGCCTTTTGTTTTACATCAATGACCTCTAGGCGAGGTTGTTTACAATCTGTGAGGAGGTTAAAGGGTCTATTGCTCTCTACTTAGCCGTCCTTCACGATGAATAGTTTGTAACATACCTAATTATCACATCCCGCGGTTGGAGGTTAAAAGTTCCGTCATTCGAGCGAGCTCTGTGATTTTGAAAAAAGAAAAAAGTTCGTGTTTTCTCGATTACTGAAACTGTCATCTCCTTTTGGTATGCTAATTTTTCCGTTTGCAAAGTGTTGCGGACTACGCCCACCGATTGTAGGTCTCAGTAAGCCAATTTCTTCATGCTCGCCGCAGTTTTCCCTAACAAGAGAAAACCGTGCTTGCGGTGCTCTTTCTAACCGGAGAAGTGTGAATTCGCAAATTTCCAAGTAAAGAAGCAATTAACACGGCGGGTTGATAGTAACTTGCATCTGCCCAGCTTCAAAGAAATAGGCAACAATGTTTCGCATCGGAAAGCTTTGCTCCGCTTTTTGGCGGCTTAATGTTATTTTCGCGGCCGATGCCATTGTCAAAATGTCGGTTTGTTTACTCGTCATTTCCGTTCAATGAAAAAGAAGTGATTTTGATCTTAAGCAAATACTCTTTCGGCTCGCATCGCTTAACACGGTGCTAAACTAATCGTTTCTTCTGCTAATGTAAAAAATAAATTTCAGCTTTCCTGATCAAACATTTCATGCCAATTTGTATTTCTGTTTCATTACACAAGTTTTCTTCTGTTTTCAGCCATTAGCAATCAGGAAATTTGTCGGTCATGAGGACAGACTGATGGAGAGATAAGCTAATAAACTAATAAGCCCTCTGTTGTCTTTTCTCGGTGCCTGTGATCTTTCAAATGTCGTGTCTCAAAGACATCTGAGCTTAAAAGCCTTGTAAAATATTCATTTTCAACTCCGAGAATTCTCTCTCATTCAAAAGGCGAACGACCATAACTTGATAATATTCAAAACAACTGTCTCGGGCGTGGGTGGCATAAGAAAAAGAATGCTATTAGAAAACAATGTTCTTTGAAATTATCCGGAAATGTGGTTGAATTTTATAATCGAAGACAGATTTTTGGATTTGAACCAATTTTAATTTTCAACCGCAAACGATCGATCGGTCAGAATGTTCTATCTTAATATTTCCCTTTCCCAGAGAATTGCTATAGCAACGAAGGCTCTTTGCAAGAACGAAACGTTTTCGGTGATTACCTGTGGGCAAGTGAAATTGATAACTACTTACAAAGCCGCCTCTGTTTTAAATTCCGTTAGCGGCAAACATAAATTTGTCTGTCTCTGCACAAAGACGTTTTTTGAACGTCTAGCCTCTTGCAGAGTCAAATTGTTGATAAGAAAGAAAAAAGCGGCAGGTTTTGTCTTGAAACCTCACTAATTGCTCCCTGACAGTGGGGGGTTTGGTGCTAGACTAGGAGAAAATCTGGTTTGGAGCGATTGAGGCGCAAATCTCGTTGTCATTAAATCGTAGTTTATTTCGTGACCTTAAAACTAAAGACACCATTTCTCCAAGAGAGAAAAGTTGAGAAGAGAGCAAAACATTTAAACGCGGAAAAAATTAAGTCCTTGTTTAGATAGCGTCTTTGCCTAGGAGATCAGCACTGAACAAATCCGCCCTTTTCTCTGAAGATGACGAAAACAACTTCAGCAATTACTTTCTTATCAGAAGTCTGACTTTCCATCAGGCCTCCTACAAGGCGAAACTCTAATCCCATCGCGTGTTCTATTTCTCTCAAGTTTACAGGTTTAATATCTCTATTACGGTTTAAGAGTTTTCCTTTCGTCAAAATGCCTGCTTATTAGCTGAAGGTCAGGCCAAATGGTTTGGCTTTGAATCAAGAAGCTTACTTTCTTTGTATGCGTTGACGTATTGCATATTTTATTGGAGATAAGCATCACTCAGGGTACAGGCTCGGACAGAATCAGTCCTTCACAAAACATGGGAAATTCCCGAGTTGAGAACGAAGAGTTGCTTAATTACACAGATGTGCAATTAGGCCATAGAAGACAGATTTGATGATTAGTTTGGAAAACAACAATTTCTTGCTATCATCTACACGACGTTATGCAATATCGCTCACAGTGACCACCATCAGAGAAATGGCCTGTTTTTGATCAGTTCGACATACTTCCTCAGCAATCGTTATTCTTACGGTAGTAAATCCAATTCAGTGCAAGTAAAACTTGCCCTCACGGTAACTGAAATCACACAATGTTTAGTATTTGGGTTTCATTTTAAAAGGACCTTTACCAAATTATAATCCGTCTTTGCTAAGGGGATTGATATTTGGGCTACAAAGCCTTTTATCGACTGCGAAACTTCATTTGAGAGACAATAGGTGCAAATCACGCCCTCAAATCAGAACTTCATCTCTGTCTCGAATAAACACATCGCGTGATTCGCAGTCAAACCGAGTTTGGTGAATGGAAACTTTCGTTGCAAACGCATGTCGCTTAAGAGAATTTTAACTCGCATCGATTCTGCATATTTTCCTGATATTTTTTCTTTCTGGTGACTCCTATGAAAGGCTCTCTGGAAGTTTTTCGTGTTTCGTCGTTACAGTCTATTTAGAACTGATCAGAGCACTTACAACAAACATATCCGAACAATCTATTCAATGAATTTTTTTCCTCTTAGCTAAATAACTGCTTTTGCACCATTATTTCTTTTCTAGTGCTGTTATCTATACATGATAACCGACCTTCTACGAAATGATTGCACGGAAGCCCCGCTTTTGATAATTTTGCAAGAAGATTTTGGCATTAACGCTAAGGCGTTTATACTTTCAAACGCTGTGATGCACGCTATTTTGGTGTGGTAATTGTCAAATTCGGGCGGAATCCACGCGATATAAACTAAGTCCATGCTCACAAGTCTCGACTCTTGTTTCCGGATTTCTTGCGTGATTCAAAATAAGCACCACTATTTTCAGTTGATCGTAAAATTATTCAAATCCATGGGATCAGAAAGGGCGAGCTAATGCTAGTATTTAAAGCAACTCTTTCTTACTGGCTAACCATCGCTAATTACAGCAGAGAGGAATAAATTTGCTTAGGGAAGGCGATACTAACTAACCATAAACATTTGTTTTACTCAGTTTTTTTTCTTTTTCAACAATCAAACATAATTGGCTTTTGGTTGATGTTTTTCTCCTCTACTGATGCTAGTCTCTGATAGATACAGTTGTTTTCATGTTTTTATTTAATGAAGGGCAATAAAAGTTGAGCTGTCGCGGTGTTTTAAGGTATTTTCCGCCTAGGCATAAATTATCGCCTTGTCGTTCAATACGGCACTTGTTTATTTACCGAACGAACCAATACTGTCTTGTGCCCGAAGCGAAAAAGCGCTTCCAATCTTTTCTCTTACTTAGAAGGTAATTGGTGCCATTGAATCGATGCGTTTGGACCAAACAAATGCCGAGATTAAGCGATCGTCCCCTTTTGAACGAGCGTAAAAGAAATCATTGTTCCTCTCTGAACATCAAACGAAATTGACGATGTGCCGCTTTTAAAATATCTCGGCACGAAAATAAATAGAAAGCGGTACATACGCGCTTAGCGAACGTGCACCGTAAGTGATTTTAAGCGCATCAGAAATGTTTAACAGAGAGCAAAGCCAGTATCGTTTCACAATCTCGCCTCAACACGTAGGAATCAGCTGCTTTCGGAAGAAAAAAAACACCAATTGGTGCTCTGAAATGACTACTAAACGAGTTGAAAAGATTGGTAACTTGTCTAATTGTGTCGGCGAGTTCTTTATGAATCTAAACTAGTTGAAGAAGTGATTATTAAGTAGTATTAACCAAACACAAGGCAAATTAAGCTATTCAAAAATTTTTTACAATAAATAGGACTTTTGTCTCCCCAAATGCTGTTTTTCACTGCTCGTCTATTTTAATCGCATTTGCTTTTCATGTTCTGGTCTCCCTTTTGCGACTGTAAAAATGAAAAAAACAGAGAAGGTCGTTGACTCGTTTCAATCAAATGTGCAAAGCGCGAATTTTCAAGCTTTTTATATGGTGTATGTACGTGATGGGTGAAGTTCAGCGGTTTACATCAATATTTACAATTATCACTTTCACAAAGTTACAGTCGAGCTTCAAAGGAAACGGCGCGTGTGTTAATAAACTCTGAGACTAGTCAACGACAAACGCTACTTATTTTTTTCTGCGGAGTAGGAAATACCGTACCACTTCTTTGACCATAAATTGGCAGCGGGAGGAGAAATGAAGCTTTTGTATTGAAATCCCTCTCCGCATGAAGTTGACAAATTGTGATAACCTCCCTTAAGAAATTCGCTTCGAAATTTGTTTTGATTTCGGCGCAAGTTTGCAGGAAGTGAATTACCTGTATGTTTCAAACCGCTCCGAGCAGTTGACAGCTACGATAAAAAAAAATCATATTCACACTCTAATCAGCATAACAATAGCTAACTGGTGTTTAAAGATTCAAAACTCTCTTGGGAACACGTGGAAATAATGAAAATAATTGCACGAATCTCTCTTTTGTGTAAGTGAAATCACAGATTTTTTCGGAATAACATATATCGATGTCCCAAAAATCGTTTT